AGGCGAGAGCTAGATGGCTGACAGTCGAAGTATAGTGCCGTAAGCACACAAGGACGGTCAGGCTGAGTTGCAGACTATTAATGCAGAGCAAGCACATCTTTTGGCCCGCTCCTTGTGACCTTCTAGCTTGATCTAGCACCCTATACAAGAGCCCAAATTAAGCCTATATATGCCAGCAGCATCAGTGACAATCCTGATCGACACACAAAATCACTCAGGCAAGGAATGTGGTAGGAGTGGTCGCCAACCCTCTGGAATCTTCAAATGTTTGTTGCCCCGCAAGTATCTAATCACATCCGTCATTCGGCTTTCTTCCCAAAGGTCTGAGAAGATCATCTGCTGGAACATGGTGGCGATGTCAGGCACCTGCAGGAGTACATTATATAGGTAATTAGGTACTTAATGCACTATACACCTACAAACCAGAAACCTTTGTAGGTCCCCTATGATCGAAGAAGAGACAACCCTATACAAAGTCTTTAATTAAGGGCGTATAATTGCATAAGTGTATATAAATCTACGTTCCTAATACATTAGACAGGGCATTCAGGAATATTGGGTTGTATAGGGTTAAAGAGAGCTGCATGCTACGACGAAAAGACCCTGAGACCCTCAATTGGCTACAAACACTGGTGTTGCAAAACCTCTGCTCCCACAGACCCCATTGAGATAATTGAACTTAAAAGGATACCCGAGCCCTGGGGTGCACGACTTTTGATTTAGTTGACTTTAAAGTCTTTATGTACGTTTCCGAGTCCTATGATGAGGCAGCCAATATAGATCTCGGTTTAGGGTCGTGTCAGCTTGTGGGTTTATGAGATTATATATATATATATATATATATAGATGTATTTATATGTATATTTTGATATATTTGCATGGTTTATTCACATACATATTTGTTTATTTAAGCGGATTCGGGAATACCAGGGGTTGTACAGGGCTTATAAGAGTCATGCAGTTTTGTTTGACTATGATCAGTGGGTTTAGGATCCTTCTGAAGCCTGAGACATCAAAATGCTAGAAGAGGGTATATAGAACCATATACAAAAGCCAGTCAAGCTAAGCACACTTCCATGGGTGACGTAGTCTGATCGCATTAACAACAACACACGTAGTCCTGACAGAAGCCACTCAGTGTGTCGACCCTACTGCTCACCATCCCCATAAGCCCTGTAATACCTTAAGTATATACAGCTGATGAGGTATGTCTGATTATGTGTTTTATTCACTCGGCACTGTTAGAGGTGCTATGGGGCTTGTGGGCCTTCAGGCTTCCAGTTGAAACTTAAGGATGCTCTAGGGTTACAAAACCCCAAGTGACTAAAAGGCCTCGGCTGGAACTTCGGGGTCGAAAGAAGCTTTGGACTCCTGCATCTCCTCGATGAGAGAAGCCACTTGAGCACCAAATGCCGCAGGATAGGTCCTTGATTGGCAGCAGTTCATTTGAAAACCGATGTAAGTCTGCAGTATGGATATCCCAAGCTAGATTCACGTGCACGTATGATGCTAAGCCCCTGACCCTGTCCCCTTCAGGAATTTCGTCCCCACGTATCGTTTCTTCCCCTTGTCATCCTTGTAGCAATAAGCAGACTTAGGAGCTCCTGGCCGGACCTTCTTCTTCCAACCTCGTAGCTTGCCACGACTGAAGCGCCGAATGCACGGTGAGTTCGAGTAAGCGAAATGGCGTTTCGGGGTTGGAGCTCCATAGTGCAACATATACCAGGAAACCCTCCAAATCTTCCACTTCTTGCAAAGATCCCTGAACCGAGGGAAACATTCGAACCAGCTCAGCGCTGGCTGTTCCAGGATGAAGACACCATTGAGGGCCAAGACGATCATCACCAGGAGGCACGTCCTGACAGCTGGGTCACCCGTGAGTGCCATAAAGTAATCATATATATTATACACTACAGGGAACTCCAGAAAGTTGGAATATGGTTTCATGGTAGGATACCCTATGATTTACCATAGAAGGGTTAGGATAATCATATTCCAACTTTCTGGCTTTTACCTTATATAGTCACTACGTACATGGACTGCACTGATATTGCCAACCTCTCCTGGAGGCGAGAACATTCGACTCAACAACACTTTTCTGAGTCGTGTTTCCCAAAGGCACAAGGTAAGACCTCTTCGAGAAGCCCATGTTCATTCTCGTAAAGGACGAACAGACAAGGCCCAGCCAGACCACACATTTGTTCTGCACAGCCGAGAGGACTCCAGCCATCGCTAGCCTAAGTGAGAATCCCATGATACGAACCATCATGCGAAATTATTTCCTGGCTTCAAGCTCACAAGCTGCAGCTGAGTGGAGCACGCCATTCCAGCAGGCGTGAGAAGATCCATGTAGTTTTCGTGCTTGTACGATGTGCAATATGTGATATCGAACTTGCGGGCCTTGTAGCCACATGCTTGCACATGACGAGTCACTTGGGCAGCCCCAGCGAAGTATTCGAGCCACTCCAGAACCTGAGATTGATTCATGCAGCCTCTTGCATCCCTGTGACATTTTCTCGGTAGCTACAAGCTCCTTGCCAACAGAGTCTCATCTGTGCGGATTGGAACATTGTCAGCCCACACCAATAGCAGAATGGCCAAGAACAATACCTGGACATTTAATTTCTTCTCTGAATCGCAGGGCAAGCTTGTGCAATCAACGAAACACGACTGCGCAGGCCTTCGGGGCCTGGAGCTGCTGCAGTCGGTGGAAGAGCACACGAAGTTTGCTCTCGCTCCACATGGCCCTTAAGTACCCTAAATTAACCCCATAAGCCCTCTATATATATACATATATATATATATATAAGCCCTAAACCCTCTATATATATATATATATATATACACACACATATAACCCTAAATCCTACATAAACCCTATATGAACCCAAAACCCTGTATATAAACCCCATTAGACGGATAGCTTTTCCATTCGCAATTGACGGGAAATGAAGGACTAAACCAGCTTCTAGCTTACCACATATATAGAGGCTTAATTAGGCTATATTCCGCTATATATCACATAAGAACCCAGACCCCTCTCCAAAGCAAATATCCCCCTAAAGAACTATATAACTCGAATCCAGGAACCCACTAAGGCCCTATAGAGCAAGCTAGTGAAGCCACACTGCCCAAAGCTCGAATCATAAACTGCGATGTTGAAACACAGCAGCACAATCGCACAGCTTTGACTGTATTTAACAGGAATGGCCCATTGAGAAACCAAATATATCTGTTTATGTGTGTATACATACACACATATATATATATATATGTGTGTGTATGCTTAGACATGCATGCACACATACCTATATATACATACATAATACACATGCATGCATGCATGCATATGCACACACCTACATACACATGTGTACGTATATTCATGTACATGCATGTTACATACATGTGCATAACTGAGCATACATATGAACATGCTTGCACACATATACCTATGTAGATACATATGCAAACACCCACACCCACACATGCATGCATGCATCATCGTATATACAATCATAAAACTTCTTTGTTAAAAGCACACATGCACATACATATATTTGCAGATATTCTTGCGCCTGGGTATGTAAAGTGTCATAGACCCTGATTGAACGTTTTCTGAATTCCACACCGGATCCCAACATCAAAAAAACATCCACATAAGCAAATGCTGAAGCTTGAACCATGTTACCCCACCCCCCCCCCCCCGCCCCCAAATGTTAACCTTGCGACACAAAGGACACACCACAAACGACCAGTTAATGGGTAACCCAAACCATGTCGGCTGCTCGAATGTTGGGCTCTGCGTGCCCGATCGAAGATTCCAGCACTCGGCCCTTGAGGGACTTCGGCACAGGCATCGACCTGCATAGTTATGCAAATCATTCTGAACAAGAATACACGTGGTGCTACTGAAACTTGCTTCTCCTAAAGGAAATCAGCACTCTGATGGCATCACGAATTGAGTGACTTGCACTACAGATCCAGGACACACCCGAATCGACTTAAATCGTTGCATGGGCCCGGCCTGCAGGGTAAAATCCACAAGCCTCATCCAGCGACTTCAGCACGATCACCGGGGAGACCTGCGCCAACAGTCCACAACACGTTCAAATGACACACGTATGCTGGCAGAAGTGCTTCTCGCAAGTTGGACTCTCTTTCAGCACAATGGCACAAAGAACTCGATCGGATTCATTTTCACGGCAGCGGTGTTTGGAACGATCCAATCTCGCAAGTCGCTATGCTTGTGAGGTAATGAAAACGAATGGCTCGATCAGCAACAGACGTGTTGCAAGCTTGCTTCCCACTCATGCGCCCTGCAGCTGAAGATTGCCACACCAGCAACCCAATGCTACATAGGTGATGATAAATCAGCAAACATGTGTTTGTAACGACATTCACCAGCTGCACTGAATCACAACATTGGGGTAATCTTCACACCGCAGACTATGCACATGAATCCCATGCAAACAGCCTAGGCACATCCATTATGAGCAAGCCAGTTCGCTGGCCCCGGCACACACCGAAACACCAAAATTCAGGATGTGGCTTTGCCACATTTGGGAAGCTCCCACTTCGTGGCCAGGTCCTTCATCTCTTGCTTTTTTGCATAAAGAAACTGGGCCACATATTGATTATCATCCTCATGGCCATGCTCATCCAGCACCTTTGCCTTGGTAAGTGCGTGGTTAATCGCTCGATCTGCATTTATCATCTCTCTCTCTCTCTCTTTCTCTCTCTGTCTCTCTCTCTCTCTCTCTCTCTCTCTCTCTCTCTCTCTCTGTACCCAACTCAATTGCCAGCCACTGAACTCTCAAGCATGAAACAGCTGGGGCACACATGCCACTGCAGCATTCACCAGATGGGTCACGGATACACCCTTCGTCCCGAGGTAGAAAACCTGCACCACGTGGCAAATCCAGACAAACGACGTAGTAAACAACGAAAATCACATCCTGACATTATATAATCTATAGAACTGAACAGCCTGCTTCGAGTCAGCATTCTTCTTGATGCCAACACCAGGCCGTGACCAATAAACCATCAAAGTGTAATTGTTCAGGGTGCCATTGGTCTTCAAGATGAGACCCTTGCAACGGGTCTTTTCCTTGGCAACATATGAGCACACATATCTTGATTGAACCACAACATCCATCATGCAATGAATCTCTCATCCTCTCTGCACACACAACGAAAACCACAACATATCTGGGTCTAGATGCCTCCTCTTCTGGGGAAACGCCCTGCGCTAGCGCCTCTGCCTTGCTCCTTGCCAAAGCCTTCCCTTGCTCGAGGGTCTCGGCAAGGCCACTCTTCCTCCTTTTGCGTCGCCCTGCAGCCTGCTCCTCATCGCACACATCCGGAGCTTTGTTCTTCTTGCCTGCCCTTGCAGGCTGTGCATCCCCCTCCTCAGGCACAGCAACACCTGCTGCTCCCTTGCCTGCTTGCTTTCCACGGACTCGCTTCACAGGGGTCGGGTTGATCTGCTCTTGATTTGCTGCCCTCTTCTGGCCCCGGCCGCCCCGACCCCTGCCACCACCTCGGGCCCTTCCACCACCACAGGCTGGGGCCGATGGCGTGGGCTCCTCACCCTCAGCTCCCTGCTCACATTCATCCCCAGCCACAGGAGGCTCCTTTGGTTCAGCGGCCTGTTTTTTGGCCTTGCTCTTAGCAGCTGTCCTCCGAGTCTTCTTATCTGCAATCTCTTCATTGTGAGCATTATTTTCTTTCTCTTTCTTCTTCAGCTCCTTCTCTTCTTTATCTTTCTTCTGCTGCAGCTTCTTGGCCTCGGCCTCAGCTTTTCCCTGCTGCCGAGCTAAAAGTTGGTCCTCCCGAGTCACAACCTGAGATGCTCAGAAACAGCACAGCATTCACAGTCAACACAAGGAAACACAGTAACATGACATGGTTCTACATTCAGCCATTTGGCAGGTGGATCAGGCACAACTGGCACAAGAGATTCAACCGCCTTGGCCCTTGCAAGCTCCGGCTCCTTCTCCATATCATCCTGGGTATGTCTAGCATCGTGTCCAACACATGATGAAAAAAATTCATTCTAGTAAGCACCACACTACACCACTTTTTTTCACATGCACTTATACAACAACTAGTCTACACACGTATACAACAGCTATACCAGTAGTCCCAAGGAGCCCTAGCAGGCTTTGTAAGAAAACATCCAAGCCATGTATATATAATGCATGTATATAAAGTTAAAACCATAATATACCCCATGCGAGCATAACCTTGTATGTATTCTGTATATAGTGTTGTATGGTCCCAGTGTTAGCCCCCACTAAAATAATGACTTGTTTGATTACAAATCTTTTGAATGACCTTGTATTGCACATGATGATTAACAAAGCTGGCTGACCCGCTTGGTTGCTGGACTAGTCTCACTCGGGACCCTTTCAGGAGTCTTGTCCTTTGCAGCCTGTGCCATTGCTTCCGTGATCTGGCTCTCGGTAGCCACCTGCGTCTCATCATTGTCATTGGACCAGGCGAGCTCACGTCCTCAAATTAACACAAATCAGACTGTCATCATGCTCTCACATCAGCTGAACCCAAATGAGCTTTCTTTCGAGACCACCCATCAAGATCCAAGGTTCGGGAAATCTGGCTCGGATCCGGCTTCCCGCGCGAAGTCTCCAAGTGTAAACTTGGCTGTGTAATGAGTCGAAGACAAACCATAAAGTTCAAAATACATGTCAACACATGCACCTCATGGCTACGAATCCACAAACATGACATAGTATGAGCTCAGAAACAGCTCTGCTTCAAGCTTCGCCAACTCCCGCAAAGCTGCCTCTCGGTCAAAGGCGTCCGTCTCAGCCAAAACATCAGCCAGGGTCTTGTCCACGGGCTCCTGCTTAATGACCTTTTTAGGTGAGTCTACCACCAGCAACACCTCCTTGACGAGCACAGGCAACGAGGGAGGGGATGGCGTGATCTGCCCATTACCTGCTTCTGAAAAGCACTTGTGCTTGGGATCTGGAGTCTCTAGAACCGTCGTCGCCAGCGATGCACTGCTTGCCAAACTACCAATGGACCTCGAACTGTCAGTATGAATGACACCAGGCTTCTCATGGCTTT